TCATCAAAATAATCAAAAAATCTAGATAAGAAATAGGGTAGTTGATCAGTGGAATAGATTAGGTTATATTACAGAAGTAAATGACCATGATAACCTAGTGTTTGATAAACCAAAGGATCCAACCTTTGGAGAAAAGAACTCACTATTCAACAAAAACTGCTGGGAAAACTAGAAAGAAGTATGGCAGAAACCAAGTATAGGCCAACATCTAACACCATATACCAAGATAAAACAAAGTGGGTACACAATTTGGACATAAATAGTGATATCTTAAGCAAATTAGAGGATCATGGGGGTAAGGAAAGAGTTTATGACCAAACGAAATAGAGGAAAACAAGAGTTAAAATAGAACAGTCCCTGCCCTCAATCCTACTTGGAGGATAACAGATTTATATAGATAAGTAAGTACAATATATTTTAAAAAGAAAAGAGCACTAATACCGAGGGTGGAGATAGAAGGAAAAATCAGGGAAGTCTTTGGGTAGGAGGTGACACCTGAGCTGAGACTGGAAGGAAGCTAAGAATTCTGAGAGGTGTTGATAAGGGAGGTATTATAATCCACACGTGGGGGAGAACCTATACAAAGGCACAGAGGAGGAAGATAGGTTATTGAGTTCAGGGAACAGTTAGTGGTCCAGTTTGGCAGGTATTAAGGAGAGTAATATGAAGTAAGTCTGGGAAGGTAAGTGGGAGGCAGACTGCAGACATGGATGCAGGGGTGTTCTGGAGCCAGCTCAAACAAGCTCAAGAGAGCTGGTAGTTAAATTTTTAGTGTAAACATTTACACCTTGGAAATTAGCAAATGCTACAAAATCAGGACTGTACTTACTATTCTGTTTATTTTTAGACTTAAAAAAGTGAAAATGTTATCAAGGCAGAGTAAACTTAAAAGTATGTCACGTGGACATTTTTTTCAGGGGGTCAGTTGTCAAGCATTTACCAGCAGAACCTGCATAGATGCAACCTTAAAGCAAAATGAAGCACTTGAGATTCTATGCCTTAGAAAGATTTATTTGACTATATGGGAAAGGGATTGGAAAGAGGAAAGACTTGAGGCGGGAAGACCAATTAGGAGGATCCTGCAATAGTGTAAGCAGTAGGTGAAGAGTACCTGGACCAGGATAGTGTACATGTGAATGGAGAGAAGGAAACAGGTATGAAAGACATTGGCTACAAAACTCACTAAGCAGTGAGACATGACCACGGGGGAGAATGAAGAATTAAGGATAACTGAGGATGTAAATGAAAGAAGACTGGTACTCTCAAAAGGAACAAGTAAGTTTTAAGGTAGAGTAGGGTATGGTACTTTGGGAAAGAGGGAGGAAAGAATAATGAGACCACTTTGGACATCTTAGTTCTATATGCCATATGAAATCCAAGCAAAGATGTCCAACAAGCAGCTGGTGATATGGAACTGTAATTCATAGGAGATTAGGGATGGTTAAAAGATTTGGGAATCATTTGTGTATTGTGTATTGGTGATAACTGAACTCCGTGGGAGCTGATGAAATCACCAAGACTAAAAATATAGAAAAGAAAACTGAGAGGAAACAACCACACCTAGTGGGAAATGTATGCTGATCCATGAAAGGAGACTAAAAAAGAGCCATACAAAAGGAAGCAGGAAAACCAGTAGATAACAAGGTCACAAAAGCCAATAAAGATCTCTTAAGGCCTTCCAGCTCAAAAATTCCATAAAACTTCATCAGAATTCTTACCATTTTTTTTGGTTGATCTGAAACATTTTATTATAAAAGACTACCTGTGAATTATTTGCATATTTCAATTTTGGTGTAGTGTACCTGCTCAAAAAAGACCTAAGGTTGAAGGTCAACCCCTGACACGCTGCTAGCTGTATGTGATCTTGGTCAAGTCATCTGATTTCTCTCAGCCTCTTCTCCTGTGATGCGTACTAAAACTGTGCAATCTTGGCAAAGTCATTCCATCTCTCTGGGCCTCAGTTTGCTCACTTGTAAAATGAGAAGGATGAAGCAGAAGACATCTCAGATCTTTTTTCAACTCTAAATTTATGATCTCCTGAGCTCTAAAATGAAGATACCGCCTACCCTATCTACCTAACTCAGATGGTTGTTATGAAAATTAGACAGTATATATTAATAAGTGACATGTGAATTATAAAGTGCCATAAAAATGTAAGGAGTGATATGCAGTATGAATGCTTTCATTTTGAAATGAAACAGTACCTCCCTCCGCCATGGCAGCCCCCTTCTCCCATTGCTGAGTTCCTTCTTGGGGCCTCCATTATTTTTATTCCCCTTCTGGCTGGACTTCTGACTCTCTGGACATTGCCACCATGTCCTCCACATGGATACTTTCTCTCCCTCCCATTGCATTTCAGCTCTTACCCCATTAGAACATAAGCTCCTGGGACATTATGATCCAAAGCCCCCCAAATGTACAATAAGACTAGGAGCTGCAGTCACTCTGCCAAAATCGGGCATCAAAGAGGCATCTGTGTAACTGGAAGCAGAGAGGCTGAGCTTGGGAGCATTGTATCGTCCCAGCAGAATTATAGCCCAACCATCGCAGATGTATTGGAGACAGGCAGAGACAGGAGAAGGAAAAGCAAAGTGGGGGAAGGGATAAGGGAAAAACACAAAACAAAAAAATCCCAGAATCCTTCCGGTCTCTCATGCAAGCGTGAAGGCCTCCTTTCTGTTCCCAAACACAAAGGCACCCAGTGATCCACAATGGAATGGAAGGGGTACAGCTCCTCTTCCTAGCAGACCACAGTGAAGTCAGATGCTTGGGCAATGGAAGAAGACAGACTGAGCAGATTAAAAAAAACTCAGGGAATAGACTGAGAAAGACAGAAGAAATCACACCACAGCATGATATGCATAGAGGTGCAAGGCTAATACTGTTCCTGAGGAAAAAGTGAGTGCAGGACAATTTTAACCTCTTTGCTGACCCCCCATGAGATTAGTTAACCTGTCATCCAAGCATCGCAAGGTTAGACAATTACCCCACTAACTTTCAATAGCACTAAAGGAGAAATGGGCAGTTATTTGGCACAGTGGATAGAGTGCTGGCCCTGGAGTCAGGAGGACCTGAGTTCAAATCTGGCCTCAGATACTTACTAACTGTGTGACCCTGGGCAAGTCACTTAACCCCGTTTGCTTCAGTTTCCTCATCTGTAAAATGAGCTAGAGAAGGAAATGGCAAAACATTCCAGTATGACCCAATGGGGATCACAAAGTCAGACACAACTGAAATGGCTCAACAACAAAGGAGAAACAATTATCCTGTTATTCAAAAGGAGACATCAGTTACATAAGATCCTCTATGGAACATAAGCTCCTTGAGGGCAGGGAGGACCTTTCTGTACTCAGTGCTGCACAGTGTCTAGCATATAGTAAGTGCTTCATAAATTCTTGTTAACTGGAGCAGTTACGTAGCACTGCGGTTAGAATGCTGGCTTTAGAGATAGGAATCCTGTTGTTGTTCAGTTATGTCCAATTCTTCATGACCCCATTTGGGGTTTTTGTGGCAAAGATACTGGAGTGGTTTGCCATTTCTCTCTCTGGCTCATTTTGCAGATGAGGAAACTGAGGCAAATAGGGTTAAGTGAATTGCCCAGGGTCACACAGCTACTAAGTGTCTGAGGCCAGAATGGAGCTCAGGTCTTCTTGACTCCAGACCCAGCACTTTATCCACTGTGCCACCTAGCTGCCCCTGAGTTAGGAATAGGATCAAAAGAAATAACCCGAGTGAATAAAGCACCAGCCCTGAAGTCAGGAGGACCTGAGTTCAAATACAGCCTCAGACCAGACACTTGACACTTACTAGCTGTGTGACCCTGGACAAGTCACTTAACCCCAATTGCCTAAAAAGAAAAAAAAAAGAAATAATCTGTATAAAGTGTTTTGCAAACCTTAAAGAGTTAAAGAAATGTTAGCTATATTACTATTACCAGTGACCTATGAGTTCATGACAGAACTATGGGAAATTCAAAAGCCTTCCTGGCCAGTTCCCTACCCTATTTGGGAGATGGGCCAAAACAATCCTCTTTCCTTGGGAAAGGGCAAGACATAGAGAGAAGAAGGGGGAAGAGGCTGAAATGACTTCAGAACAAAGAGTACTTGCTCTCCATCCAACAGGAACTCCTCTTCATCTTGATACCATTAAAAACTTCACGTACTGTAAGAGCTTGGCATCTAAAGAGGATGTCCAGAAGGAGCCCCAAGGAGTCACAGGACAGAACTCCACTCTTCCGCACGTCTTTCCCCTCCAGATGAAATGGCTTCATGTCTATGCTGTACACTTTGTGGGATGGAGAAGGGGAGGGGAGGACTATGCAGGCAACAAGCCATCTGTTGCCAGGTGTGAGAAATGATTCATTTCGACCCCTACTCTATTCCAATCAGTATTAATCATTTTGATATTTTACATAAGTCATATAGGGATAATTAGATAACATAGGTTATAGTAGGCCTCAAACTTTAATGTAATGTTCACTATTTGTTTACCAGTTATGAAGCTCATTTGCGCAACCACAAGAATGCTGACAAAGATATCTCCATCCTGTTTTACTCAAATTCTGTGTCCAAACCCAACATGGGTGGGATGTCTTGATTCTTTTGAAAGTCCCCCAACTTATTTTTGCACCTCTGGATCACCCTTCTTGACCAACATGAGCAGGTGACCATTTTATGACCATCTTATGACCACTTGGTCACCAAAGATGACCATTGCCTTGCCCATCTTAATTTTTGGCCCTCAAGAGCAAGGTCTATTAGTCAATGGGATTCTGTATTTTACCATGTCTCTTTTGCATATTTGGGTTTTAAACCTTACAAAAGTAAGGTCCTGGGGACCAGGGGCTTCTCAGATCATGAAGAAGATCTGAGGTCCACTTCATTAGAGAGGACTATAGACCCTTTAATAAAGTGCCATTGGCTCAGAGCTCTGCGTCAGTGGTTTGTCTTGCAGACTGGACAATTTAAAAACCACACACAGGGTGCTTAGATCTTGCCTACCTGCCAAGCTTCTCTGATCTTCCTCTCTGACAGGGGAAGGTGTCCATCGAGGGATGTGAGAGATGCCCTGAGAGATCAGCTCATTCAGATAATACTCAATCACTTCCTTCCCCTGGAATACAAGGCAAGCAAAGATAAAAGAAAGATGTCCTCCATGAGCTCAGTGGGTCCCATAGCCACTCTTAGCAGAGCAAATGGGAGACTCCAGCCATCCCATCATGAAAGTAGCAGTAAAGTCATCCAGTCAGCCGTTGGTAGTCAATTGCATGGAGAAAAAAAGCCAGATGTGGGCAAACCAGGATCCATTACAATAAAGATCCCTCATTTCACAAGAGCCTTGTGCTCCACAGCCCAGGGAAGGGCATTTTCCAATGAGGGTGAAAAGCCAAAGAATGGCCCTCCATATTCAGGAGACTATAACTATAAGGAGAACTGTTTATAAGTGAGTATCTCTTGTGAACATCCAGTCTGTTACACATGAAACTAACTGGCTCCATTTCTTACCTTCTTGATGTTGGCTGTGTACTGCTTCATCGCAATTTTCTCCACGGCATTTTCAAAGCCGAAGAATGATTTGATGTCAAGAGAGGCTGACTGCTCAAAGCAGGTCCACTCATCATTTTCAGGGTGAACCTGAAATCCAGAGAGGCCAAGTCATTTACAAAGTCATAAGACCACAGAACACTCAGAGCTAGATCCAAATGTACCCTTTTCACACTTTAGGAAGCAGGCTGAAGTGAATTAGACACCCTCTAAGTGAATTAGATACAACTATATTGGACATTAAATTCCCATTAAAGTTTAACCACTGTGCATTGGGCTGACTTTGAGCTTCTGGGTTTGCTATGAGTGTGGCATGGGACTAAGCAATGCTCCATGAGCCCTCCGAGGAAATTCTTTCTGAAGAGTCAAAATGGCCAGGTCACACAGTCCTACATTCAGGAATAATCTGGTTGCCAGTTAGCTGTGAGGGTCTTTCTAAAGGCCTCTGAGAATGGCCTAATTCTCACCATTAAGTATTCATTAACTGTCTTTTGGTACACACACACACACACACACACACACACACACACGGAGTGAACTGAGAAATTCATCCACGAGGCTGTGCAATGCTGTTTGATTATTTGAAAAGGAAGGCCTCTGACAACAGGTCAGGTCTTCTCTAGCCTGGAGGAAATATATGTTGTCGATAAGGTCAGGACAGGGATGATCTATCTCACTTTTCTTTGATGACATCCCCAAAGTCTAGAACAGTGACCAGTATATAGTAGGCACTTAATCAATGCGCGTTAGTTGGTGGTTGTGCAAAGTCAGGCACAGTCCAGATCAGCAATGTTGCAACTGCTGACATTAACAAATGACTAGCCAGTAATGCAATGAGGGAGGAAGTAACTTCTTTGTGGAAGCTTAAAGAAATGTTGTGTTCGGGGCAGCTAGGTGGCGCAGTGGGTAGAGCACCCACCCTGAAGTCAGGAGGACATGAGTTCAAATCCGGCCTCAGACCAAATACTTGACACTTACTAGCTGTGTGACCCTGAGCAGGTCATTTAACCCCACCTGCCTAAAAAAGAAATAAGAAAAGAAAGAAAGGAAAAAAAAGAAATGTTGTGTTCCTCACTGACACCTGCCCAAATGGAAACATCTGGATTGTACTAGAACTAAGTCTCCATCCCATCGAATAGCCATGATAATTCTATTTTGCAGTAATAGGGTCATGGAAAGGATATCATTTTGGAAGTTATAAAGATGAGCTAATGACATAATAAGGCCAGAAGAGGGATAGGTTATCAACAGAAACTTCTTGGCAGAAACTACTTCACATTACTCTGCCCCATCCCACACTATGGTGTCATAACTGGCTGAAAGTAACAGGGTTCTGAGGAATTGTTGACTTTATCTCGGAGATCTTTGAGAACTTTGCAGCAAGCTGACACCACAGACAGTTGCCTTTCTGGAAACAGTGAGGAAAAAGCCCTGGATTTCAAGTCAAAGAATCTGCATTTGAATCCTGCCCTTTACAACTTCTATCTTGTGTGATTCTTGGGGAAGACTCTCAACCTCTAGGCCTCGGTTTCATCATCTGTAAAATTGGAGTAGATGACCTCTGCGGTCCCTTCAACAATGAAATGAGATACTATTTGCAAAGTGTTTAGAAGAGTACCTGGAATGCAGTAGGCACTTAATATATGCTTGTTCCCTCCTTCCCTCCCTTCATGCTTTAGAATTCAGGGGTGGGGAACCTGCAGCCTCGAGGCCATATGTGGTCCTCGGTCCTCAATTGTGGCCCTTTAACTGAACCCAAACTTCATAAAACAAATTCCCTCAATAAAAAGATTTGTTCTAGCTCCAGCCTTGGAGTCAGGAGGACCTGAATTCAAATTCGGCCTCAGACACATGATGCTTACTAGCTGTGTGACCCTGGGCAAGTCACTTAACCCCAATTGCCTTACCAAAAAGAAAAAAAAAAAGATTTGTTCTGTAAAACTTAGACTAAGTCAAAAGGCTGCATGCAAGGACCTAGAGGGCCACATGTGGCCTCAAGGCAGTAGGTTCCACACCTTTGCTTTAGATCTATGATCTTACTCTTAAATCCAGTCTTATACGACTAGCTTTCCAGGGAAAGTTTCACATAGCCATGGTCACTGGTGGTGGGAAACAAACCCACATAACAACACCTTTCCCAAGGAAGAGAGACAAAGTTTGCATCATGGCCCACTTACAGTGTAGCTGCAGTTCTCATGAACGATGACTCGATTGGCAAACGTCTCATTGTGGGCCTCAATAAGAAGAGTTCGATCCTTCCAATTTAAAACATTTTTCTGCACAAAGATAACATACTCGACCCCAGCAATCTATAAGAGAAATGGGATAATGGGGCAAATAAGACAGAAGAAAGCAATCATGGCTCCATAGCCTCCTGTCTCAGGGGCACTGGGAACCAAGAAAAAAGTTGAAAGGCCTACCTTCTTCAATAACCGTGGTGCATCTACAGTCAGTTTGCAGCTGCGCTCGACAATGTGAATGGATCCATCCTGGCTCTTGGATTCATGAATGATCTCACTGCCCAAGAACACAGGTATCTGGGGGCATGTCGGAAAACGTTTTTCATAGGCCTAGGAGAGGCAAAAATGGGAATAAATTACCAGGCTCTGGATGCCAGTATGACACTGAGAGACACATGCTGTATTGGGGGGAAAATTCATTGAGACATGGTCTTACTTCCACCCCCTGGCTGTCCTGACTTCCTTCAGGTCCCAGCTAAAATCCCATCTACTGCAGGAAGCCTTTCCTAATCCCTGTTAATCTTTGTGTTTTCCTCTGTTGAGTATTTCCTATTTATCCTGTATACAGGTTGTTGGTTTTTTTTAATGTAGTTGTTCGTATGTCATCTCCCCCATTAGATAGTGAACTCCCCAAAGGCAAGGACTGTCATTTGCCTTTCTTTTTATCCCTGGAGCTTAGCATACTACCTAGCACACAGGAGGCATTTAATAAACGTTTATTGAGGAACTGATGGCGGCATGCACCAGCTGGGTGACTTTGGGTAAGTCTCGGTCTCTCTGGGCCTAAGTCTCTTCATCTATAAAATAAAGAGATTGACCAAGATGATCCCTAAGATCTTCCCAGCTCTAGAATTCTAAGATTCTGTGACATTGCCAGCTTGGTAAGCAAACAAGGAAGATTCATTCTCTGGCAAAATATAACAATTTTTTAAAATTTATTTATTTTGCTTTTTGGTGAGACAATTGGGGTTAAGTGGCTTGCCCAGGGTCACACAGTTAGTAAGTATCAAGTGTCTGAGGCCAGATTTGAACTCAGGTCCTCTTGACATCAAGGCCGGAGCTCCACCCACTGCACGACCTAGCTGCCCCAAAATATAACAATTTTCTTGACTGTACTAGGGAATTTAGGGGCACTAATGCTAGTCTGTATGTTGCTGCCATTTTTCTTAAAGAGCCACACAGAAAATCACCCTATTTCTAGTCATGTATTATAAAAGTGGCCCCACTGAGACATCACATTGCATTCTTCTTAGATTCTTAGTTAGGTCTCCCTCTAGGATGGAATTTTAAGTCACACTGTTGAAAAAGAACATTAAATCATGTAATTCCTCCCCTGCTAATACCTGATAAAGAAGCAACAGAGAAAGAGAGAAAGAGAGAGCAAGAAATTTTCACTCGCAAATGCTTTAGATCAATTTTTCATTAAGTTTGCAGCCCCATTTGAAAATCCAGCAATTAACTTAGCCTTGTCTCTATCATCCTCAGCATATTCTATTTTATGAACAATTAGACTGTAAGCTCACTAAGGGCAGGGCCCATGGTATCTATTTCAACCTATAGTATTTTAAAATTGGTTCCTGCACACAGGGCAGGGAACTGATAGCTAAGTGCTTAGGTTTCAAAACATTAAACTATTTAGAAATACCGCTGCAAAAGACAAGTCATAAAAACTAATCATACCTTTTGACCCAACAATTTCATGGCTAGGATTCTAACCTAAAAAAAAAAATCATAAAAAGAAAAAACAGGACTTATTTATGCAAAAATAATAATAGCTGATTTAAGTATAATAGCAAAAAAACAAATAACCTATATGTCCAGTAACTATAGGATGGATGAACAAATTATGATATGCTAATGGAATATCATGACTCCATAAAAAATTTAACATGAAATGTACAAGAAAATGTGGAAAAACATAGATGAAGTGATGCAAAGCAAGTTCAACAGAACCAGAATTGTATCTACATGGAATGACACTAGAAAGAGAGAAAGGGGGAGAGAAGAAATAAAGGAAGAAGCAAGTGAAGGAGGATAGGAGGACAAAAAAGAAGAGGAAGGAGGAAAGGAAGAAACAAGGGAAGAAGGGTAGCAAGAAGCCAGGGATGGGCAGGATGGGTAGAAAAAAAGGAAGAAGTCAAGTAACAAAGTGGAAGGAGGAAAGGGAGAAGCAAGGGAAGGATGGTGGGAAGAAAAAAGGAAGAAAGAGAAGGAAGAAGGAAAGAAGCAAGAGAAAGGGAAGGAAGGGGCAAGGAAAGAAAGGAAAAACAGAGGGAGAAAGAAAAATGAAAGGTAGTAGAACTTCAGGCTGTTTCAGAAAGGGACACAGAGCAAAGCGTCTTTTGTCTATCAGTTATCTATTAATGTATCTGGTTCTACTTTGTTAAATGCTAAAGGTTTTGTGTAAGATCCCATTCCTTATTTTGCACATTAATTTGTTTGTCTTGGTCATTGTAACTGTTTCATCTGTAACATGATACAATCTCTAAGATCTCTCCCTGTTCCTTATTCTGCATATTTATTTAAGTGGTTATTAAGTTTATAATAAAAAAAATATTTAAAGAAAATCAAATAAATAGAACCTCAGAAGAAAGGGTAAACTTCCCTGGGCGTCAACTCTGAAGTCCCTGGAGCTGACTCCAGGGCACACAGGACAGAGAGGGCTCCCCAAGGCTTTACTGTTTACGCAGGACTTCCTGAGAACAAATGTGTTTTACGTGGTAGCTCACTGCTGTTGGGATCCTGCATTTGGTACAAGGTCACATGAAAAGCTAAGGACATGCTCAGCTGAGGAATGTGAAAATGAAATACAGTTTCCATCTTCTAAAGGCTGTTGATGAAAGAGGTGATTTATTTTAGACTCTAAAAGGGGAAAGTTCCTGCCTCATTCATTGCCCATTCAGTACAAGGGTTGGATAGCTGTAATTTAACAGTATCTGTGGACACCTTTATTAGAACAGAATTTACTAGACAGACACCACTCCCAGTGTCTATCATACCTCCTTAGATGTCCTGGGATTGGGATTTAACACCCACTCTCAAAATAACCAAGGCATCTGAGGACACATCCTGCCTTTGCAGCCAGACCTGCTACCAGGAGGAAGGGCAGCTCTCACATAGAGCTCAGGCTGCCTGCACTGGGAAACGTGGAAAGTTTGTTTCTAGTCACTGGTACAACTATCTTGGCCATCTCCGCTCTTTTTCTGGCTGTGGCTTTAGATGGACTCAGTTAGATTCCTCCTTGAATTTTTACAGAATTTGGTGTTGAATCAAACAAACAACATCACTGTGAGTTTCCACCTCCCAACTGTACCTTCCCTAGAGGTACAATGGTTCCCTGGTCTCTCAAAGGCTGGCAGAGGGAATTCTGATAAGGACTTCCATTCACATCATATATTTCAGAGATCCAAGCCCTCAATCTTACTGAGGTTTTTCTCTCTTGAGTAGAGAGTAACTTGAGGAGGACACACAGCCACTACCTTAGGCCAGGCCCTCCTTACCTCTCACCTAGATTATTACAACCACCTCCAATTCCCTTTCCTGTATCAAGTCTCTCCCCTCTACAATCCATTCTCCACACTACTTCAAAAGTGATTTTCCTTAAGCACAGATCTGACCATGACATAACCCTATTCTACCAACTTCATTGGCTCTAGTACAAATGCCTAGTTTTTACGTAGAGCTTCATGACTTGGCCCCAATTTGCCTTTCCAGATTCATTGTACCTTACCCCCCTCTTAAATTCTGTGATCCAGCCATGTTGGCCTTCTGTTGGTTGTTCATACAAGAATCTCCATTTCCCCTGTCTCCATGCCTTTTTCTGGTCATCTTTCACACCTGGAATTCAACTCCTTCCTTACAATAAGACCTGGGTTGGAATCTTGGGTCAACTCCTTAATAGGTACATGACCTTGAAAAAAAATCATCAAAATTCCTGAAGCCCTAGTTCCCTCATCCATAAAAATAAGGATAATTCCAACTGCCCATTTACAGATTTACTCTAAGGATCAAACAAGATTAAAGAGCAGCTAGGTGGTGAAATAGAGAGCGTACCGGCCTTGGAGGAAGGAGGACCTGGGTTGAAATCTGACTTCAGATACTTACTAGCTGTGTGACCCTGGGCAAGTCACTTAACCCTTATTGCCAGAGAGAGAGAGAGAGAGAGAGAGAGAGAGAATATACAGCACAACCCAAAAGTCTTAGTGTAGTTTTAAGCTTTAATAAGTTCAGAAGCATAAATGCTACAAACTTACCAAAAGAAATCATTTGAAAGTTGAATTATTTTCATTTCCTTTGTGCTTATTTAGTTGTATGAATTTTGAATAACGTATTTTAATTAAATTTTTTTTTTCATTTCATTCCCTCCTAAGTAAGGCTAAAGATCTTATGGCTCAATGACAAATGCAAATCCTTTCGGTCACAGAGCAGTACCAAATTCAAAAATCGACTAGACTCGATTTTTACAGCATAAAGTGATGAATTTTAATAAGAAACATCAATATTTTCAAAATTTTAGATAGTCATCCTTTCAAATGATTTTCTGGATAAGTCTGTAGTGTATACTGTGTAGGTCTGAAGTCATTAAGGCCTAAAACTGCACTAAGACTTTTGGGACACTGTCTATGAAAGCACTTTGTTAAAAGTAAAAGGGCTTCACAGACACAAGAGAGGCATCATGGTACAGTCGAAAGAATGCTGAAGCAGGAGTCAGAGGACCAGGATTTGAATTACAATTCTATCACTTACTGGATGACTTTTCTGAGCTTCAGTTGAGTAATCTATAAAATCTATTACAAAAAGGTCTGAAGACCCCTCTGATTTCTAATTCTATAACCCAATGATCCTACTGTTAAGATATTATTCAGGGGCAGCTAGGTGGTACAGTGGACAGAGCACTGGCCCTGGGGTCAGGAGGACCTGAGATCAAATTTGGCCTCAGACACTTACTAGCTGTGTGATTCTGGCCAAGTCACTTAACCCCAATTGCCTCACCAAAAAAAAAAAAAAAGATAGGATTTACCCACTGCTCCTAGTTCTGCCCTTCTAGAGCAAAACAGAGTAAGTTTACTCCCTCTTGTACATAATAGACCTCCACATATCTGTTTATGCTATCATTTCCCCTCTTAATCTCTCCTGCGGACAAGTCATCCTCATTTCCTTTTAGCATTTAGTACAGGGCCTAGCATACAATAGGGGCTTAATAAATGCTAGTTGAATGACTGACTCCTTGATTGGTTTCTAAGTTCCATTCCTTCCTTACTCCCCAACTCTGGATATGTTCTAATTTGTCTAGAGGATCTTTTTTTGGGGAGGGAGGGGGCTAGGCAATG